AAAAAAAAAAAAAAAAATGACAAAGTTGTGAAGTCATAATAAAATTGGTGCGTCAACGGATCGACTCGCCGCTTTCCCCGCGAGGGGGCAAACCACACATGCAAAATTAACAACGGCGAGCTGGCAGCAACTTTACGCACGCGCACACATACACATCATGTATATCCACATACAAGACGATGGCTAGAGGTAAATTCCCCCATCCTCAATTGTTCCGGGCGAGGGCGTAGAATTCTTCTTATTCTCCTTTGTTTCCTCGGCGGGCATAGGTGCAGCCTCACTGGAGACCTTGCCATTCGCATCATTCGCCGCATTCACCTCATTCGCCATTAACTCGTCCTTGTCATCCGCATCACTAACGTACTCATCGCCCATCTCACAAGCGAGTGTATGAGCAATTCCCTCACGCTGATTCGTCTCCCTTGTATACACCCCTGGGGTATCTTTCACATTTGTTTGACCCACCATATCAGGAGCATGAGGTTCCAGTAGCTGTATTTTGTCCTTAATTATGCGCAGGCGTTCTTCCTTCCTGCATAACGAAAATCTATTCTCATTCAGTGCCATGAGGAGATCCTGGTCGGCACCTTCAGGATCAAACTCTTTAATTTCATCGTTTGATCGTTTCAAATGGTAAATAGAATTTTCTATCTCCTTCTCCAAGTCTTTTAATATATTCACATCATCTGGTAGTTTCACTTCGTTAAAGTCCAGGCGAAATTCGCAACTCGTGTGCTTCGTTTTCAGCCTTATTTCAACCATTTTGGGGGATGTGGGGGTGGGGAGACAGTACGTTTGGGGAAGAGTCGTGCCCACACCGGGTAACAAACTTAGGGGTTACGTTTATACCCTCTCGCAACGAGTGCTACATGCTGACACAGCCTCTACTGCATGAACCTCCCTCCAAGCCGTTGCGCCTACCAATTCGTAAAATGGAAAATTTACAAAAAATGCACCTAAATGCTACAAAATTTACATACGCTACAAAATGTACATGTGATACAGCGAACGGTTCGTGCGACGGGGAGGGCGCGAGAAAAGGATAGAACGCGCTACTCTCTTATAGCAAGGTACACAAAGGGGCAGCCTATTCTCATCACGTCAAGGAACAAAAGGATGGCTAGCGAGAGGCAACTGCGTAATGAGCAGCGTTTCCTCTTTACGTTAAGATTTCACCCAGTAGTTATTATGCTTAAATAAATTGGTGCTACTCGGCGAGGTCGCTAAAAATTTTTTTTTTTTTGCTAATCGAAATATACAAATTGGTCCGGTGAAATTGCCCCCAAAAATATATATCCCCAAAGGATGCAACAAACGGGTGAATCAGAAGGGGGGAGGAAGAAGTGGGGAAAAAGCTTTGGCCATGTTGTCTTCCCCATCCCCAACACTCTCCTTTTTACTTGCATTTCTTTTTTAAAAAAAAACAATTTTTTCATGTTCAGGTGTTAAAGTACAACTTGGAAGGCGATGTTAACACACCGCTCCACTTCCCACTTCGATGGTGTTTTAATACTTCTTTTGCAAAAAAGAACAAAAAAAAAAAGAGTAAAATGAAAACAGGTGTGAATAGCCACTAAAAAAAAACAATGTCCTCGTGAAAAACGTATTCCACACCGCTTACAACTCTCGTAGGGCGCATCAACGACGAGACAACTCCTTTTTGCCGTACCCCTCTGGGGGACTCCCCCTCTCCCTGCTATATCTGTTTTTTCTCCACGTTGCCATTATTTTAGGCTTTTCCCACGTCTTAAACTTTCGCAATTGCATTGCTATCCCTGAGGGGCCAAATAAACGTTGCGGATTTTCGCATCTGAAAAAAGGGGCAAAGGGGACACGAAGGAAAAAAGAGGGTAATTCCCTCCCAAGGCTAAAATGCACCAACTTGTGCGCACCTTCCGCCACGAACAGGGGAAAACACAAAAAAAAGGAATAAGAAAAAAAAAAAAAAAAAA